AAGAAATACTCTCTGCTTTGCAGTGCTTGTCATAGCGAGTATATGGTAGTATATTGGAGGGCACAGAATAACACGTAGGTACCCATTGCCATTTGAGAGCATTAATTACTTGTGCAGTGGGGACTTGCACGGGCCCGTCGACGCGTAGGGCACCAATTTACGCGGCAAGTATACGGCCGTCCTTTTATGTGAGAGTTCTTATTGCAATAATGGTGTCAAATGTTGATCTCCTGGCTTCAAAAATTACTTCCCGGATATGTACAAGGATTGACCCATCAAATAATCAAATTTTTTTTAATAGGGTTGCTAATGTCTGTGAGGAAAGGGGATACATTCGTACCCGCTTCTTCACAAGACCCGGTCGGCTGACCTATTACCTTCACCACATGCATGGCGGCAAGTCTGTGCCAGTGTTGCTTTAAACAGGAGTCTCAAGTCCGCGTGGAAGGACCCCCAACCACCCTGTGTACCGACAATTGTAATTTACTGTACACTAGTCTCCACCTTTCTTCATGAGTCTACACAATGAACTTACATCGTTTTGATGTAAAGTTTTTAAGAAACAATGATTCATCTTAGGACGGTAAGTTTTAGAATGAATTCAATTGAGTAAATTGATAGTTCGAGGTTTTTCAATTTTCATTGAGAACGACGCGTTACCCGGGTAAAGTGCTTAGGATATATAACTACAATTGAAATCGATAAGTACACAAAAACTTAGTGTTGACCATTAACATCTGCGAGTAAACTTATTGAACTATATGGACGACGACCTATAATGTAATGTAACGTAAAATCGACTGCGAAAATAGGTTTCGCTGATGTTATTCACGCAATCGGCTTGTTTTATGTTTGAACTTCTTTTGTGTTAGTATATTCATGTAGTCCAAGTATCTCGATTTTGTAAAAGTTCACGATGAGTTGACCGAATCTATTCGGTTTCGGGAAATAATAATTATATTCCGAACACATTATAAGATAGTGAGCTTCACCTCAGCTTTTCTCTACTTCAAAAGTCAGACGCGACCTTCTACACATTCGAAAGACGCAGGACTACAGTACCTCGAGAAGGTGGTAAAAACCTCGGGTCTATCGTTTGGTGTACACAAACGCTACCCTTGCAACCCAGGGGGAGCGTTCACGCCCACGATCGCTCGGCGAAACCGACGCTGACGTCTCGCCTCCACGTGGACGCCCACATGCCAAAGTTGGTACAGGACCTAATCCTTCCCGGGGTCTAGAAGGTAAGGCGTACGTACAGTGCGTTCTGGTCCACGAGGAACTTCACGCCTAAGGATCGTCAATGGCCTTCGGGTCACTCCCTCGCCCTCCTCGCCGGCACCCAGCCTCTAATCTTCCAACTCTGGGCTCCCTCAGCGTCGGGCGCGTAAGCCACTGCGTCTCAGCCTACGCGTGTCCGTCCATCTGGTCGGTCCTCCTAACGTCATCATGATCCTCACTCTCTGGACCGCAGGCGAAAGACCCAGTCGCCCTGGAGTAAGAGGACTACAAGCATTTCGCACATAGACGTCGTCGCCCACGCACGTCGCTACAAACGTCGACTTCCTGTCAAGACAATAGATCCCAGTGTGGGTCTAAGAGGCGTCCAGACTCAGCCCTTTGTTTTCTCCACGGGCTACAACTAACAATACCAGTTCTCACCCTGTTAGAAAGGGGGGACTTCCTTAGTCAAGTCAGAACAGTTCCACTCGAAACTCCACTACCGCTCGTCTGTAGGTTGGTCTCTCTAACAGCACGATCCGTTCGTGTCTACGCACGCTGCTGGACCCAGAGCTCGCCCTTCCCTGTATTAATTAACCTACAGCAGTCGCATCGTCACCACTTTTTGGTACGCGTTACTGCTAGGCTCGCTCAAACCTGTCCTCTTCTCTCCCCTGCCTCTTGTCTCGGGACTCCCTGGCGGACATCAATTAACTGTTCCCAGCCTACGGCCTGGGAGAGGTTCATTGGGAACTCCAGCCAGAAACTCGATACTCCACTCTCCCTTTACACGTCACGGAACTTTGAGTTTAGAACTCTCACACTTTCCTCTAGACTCTAAAGTGGCACAGCTTTTGTCTTCATGTGCCAATGAGCAACTCTCATAGGAATGAACAAGGCCCCGCCTCCCACGCTGTATCCAGTTCTTATTATACATCCCTGGTCCCAACCCCCACAATAATATGAGCTCACCTTTGAGTGCTGCCCTCTCTGGCCAGGAAGGTGTGTTGGGAAGGGGGGGCAGCGCGCTGGAGGTTGGTGTGTGTTTCGTACAGAAAGGGCTCGCCCCCCACCTCCGCCTGCCTCTTCTTCAGCTGGCTGGAGGACGAGTACAGCTCCTCCTCCGCTTTCTGAAGGCCAGGGCATGTGAGTACATCAACTGGTGTGTGTGTGTGTGTGTGTGTGCGTGTGTGCGTGTGTGCGTGTGTGTGTGTGTGTGTGTGTGTGTGTGTGTGTGTGTGCTCACCCCTGCTTGTTGTACATTGATGTAGACCAGCAGAGAGGCTAACTCCAAGTTTTCGCTGTAGCCGTTCTTCAGAGGGACAGAGCGGTACCCTGGAGAAACAAACACTAATCAGATCTGATGTTCTTACATCACTGGTGTAGAGCTCGACTGTCTGCCGGCCGTGTCACAGAGGAGGATGTCTTCACCCACACCATGAAACGCTGCTCAGGCACAGAGTAGCTTCAGTGAAAGACTCATTCTACCATGATGCATCACCAAGCGCCACAGGAAGTCCTTCCTGCCTGTGGCCATCAAACAGGAGACTTCCTGCCTATGGCCATCAAACAGGAGACTTCCTGCCTGTGGCCATCAGACTGTTTGACAAAGGGTAGTCAATATGACACTCAACTTTTTATCATGTTTTTGACATTTTACTTTCTAATGTATCTTAATTTATGTATTTACTTTTATTGCATCTTCATTTTAACATTTTAAAATTGTATTCATTCTTTAATGGACCAACTGTCACAAAAAACGAGTTCCCCCAGGATTATTAATGTGTTTCTGATTCTGATCATCTATTTGAAACATTTAAATACACACCTTTCTGTGTTGCCGATCACAGAAAGGTGCCGACCTTTTACACAAAAGTGAACTTTAATAGCAGACCTGATGTTGGCTGTGACTGGCTGATGTGATCAGCCAGTGTAAAATATTCAAATCAAATTCAAAACACAGTGGCGTCTTTGAAAAAATATTCAGAGGTTATATTACGGATACATAATATGTAGTTGTCCACAACATATCTAACATTGATCAGTATTTTACACATAACTCCATATGCTTTATTTTATTTTTTTAATTTAATTTGACCTTCTAATGTTCAGTTTACTTTATTTCATTATATGTATTAATCTTATTTTATCTTCCTATTGCACATTATTTGTTCTTACTGTATGTACAGTATGTATAATATTTTATTTTATTTATCTTCTATTTTATTTTATTAATTTTCATTGATTACTCTATATTGAATCGGAAATGTATCAAAAGAGTTAAGAGAAGGCAGAACTGAAAAGACATTTCAGAATAGTGTACAGAAATCATGCTCCTAGTGAACAACTGGTATGTAAGATTATAGTATAGTATATATAATAGATAGTCAACAGTTTAAAAATACATGTAATGTTATGAATTGTTGCGGTAGTGTGTGTGATAGATGAACTCAGACCATTGCAACAGGCATCATGTATGATAAGTGTGGAATGGCTTTTTCTTTTCTCGTTCTTTTTGTATTATCGTTGACATATTTTGTATCTGTATATGAGTGACAGAAACAAAGATCATAGTTAGATGATGAGAAGTGAAGCTGCTGTGCTCCCACCTGAGCGGATGCCTTTCACAGGAAATGTAGCCTGAGCCACGAAGTTGGGGTCTGAGAACATGTCCTCCTCGTTGACCACGAAGCGCAGGAAGGTGAGTTCAGGCTCGAACACCGTGAACACCGCTGAGTCATCCGGGGACTTCCACACCGGGTTCAGACCGTTATCACCTGCAGAGAACAGGAGGACTGATCACACATCAGCTCATCTCAGTTCATCCTCGCCCCTTGTTCTGTCCCACAGGTCAAACTGTTCCCCCCCGCCTTTACTTACGGCAGACGATGGTCTTGAACTTCTCTTCTGTGTGGCCACACAGCTCGATCTCCACGAAGGGACTGACGATGCTGCGGCCCGGCTTGGGAAGGTGTCTGGCAGCGATCACCTGCACACACAACGCCGTCAGAACTGCTCTCAGGACTGAGATATTATACTTCAGTCAAAGAAGCAATACTTAGTTGTGAAAATACAAGTGTAAGACCTGCATTCTAAATCTTACTATAGTAAATGTACAGAAGTATTGGCAACTAAATATATATATATATATATAAGTACTAATAGTCTAACTTAAGTGCTAATAGTCTAAGTTAAGTGTGATACATGAGTAAAGGTACTTTTTTACATTTCAACAACTGTTCAGGACTAACATGCCTAATGTCAGAATGCTGCTAGTCACCCAGATTTGATTTGATTACAAATTAAGATTAGTTTATCAGCATCAAGCCCCTCTAATATTGTTTACACCGTTTTTCACTGGCCCTGCCTCATGGTGTATTTTGTGGGCAAGTTTATTTATACTGCCCATTTCACCAAAAGGTCAATCAAAGTGCGTCCAGACAGTTTTAAATATTGAGAGTGTTACGTACCCTAACAGCGATTTCGTACTTGACCTTCTTCTTCTCCTGGTTGGGGTCGTAGCTATCATAGCGCATGAGCTCCGGCTGCAGCACGTACCCCGTCTGTCCGTTCATACTGAAGAGGGCGCTGTTCAGCTGGGTGTGTTTATCTGGACACACACACACACACACACACACACACACACACACACACACACACACACACACACACACACACACACACACACACACACACACACACACACACATGAACCACTGCTCGACCCCCGCTAAATAAAAGGATTGTTTTTAGATGGATCGATAGATACTTTATTCATCCATAATTGGGAATTGATGTTGTTACAGCAGCAGTTTGTTCAGACATTACAATATTTAAAATGAAAAGGTGGAAAATAAGTATAAGATCAAATAAAACAAAACAATAAACAGAAAGTATATAAATGTATCTACAGTAGAATGGATATGAACCTCAAAGAATACTCAATATAAAATGTTCAAGATAAAATATATAATGGCCAATATAACGTCATTGTGAAAAGAACCATGGAGAATTGTAACAAACATTTATTCACATTTATTGCCAATTTCTTTTATACATTTGGAAGGAATTATGGATTGCTGCGGTGTTCCCTTTTTCAACAAATATATTCTGTCATGTGACTCATGGAAAAAGTTGAAGGTCACAATGTCATTGCTGACTGGGACACATGAACAGCACACATCTTTATTGTTAGAGGTTACACCTGTGCTTGTAGTCAAAGTGTCTAAAATCAAACTACTAATGTAAAGTACAGGTACCTCAACATTTTACTTAAGTGCGATACTTGAGTAAATGTACTTTGTTACATTTCAACAACTGTTCAGTACTAACATGCCTAATGTGTGAATGAGTCACCCAGATTTGATTTTAGTTTATGGGTTTATCAGAAGATTAGTTTGTAAAAGGCTTCCATCATCCAGCCATTCGGTGCTCCTGCATTAACCTGAGCCCTGACCTGAGGCCACTGTATTGAGAGGCATACAGGTGTAGTGCTTAACATCTGATTATGGCTGCATTCCATTTAGCTGCGTCAGTTCCGGGGTCCAGGGTTGCAGTCGAATTGTCAGTTTTGCTAAGAAAGTTGCCTTACTTAGGGAAATGACCTAGAAGTACCTAGTCCTAGAGTAACTGTCAGCCATGATTTCTCAGGGGGCTGTTGTGTCTCGTCAAAGATGTTATTCTAGTCATGTTTCATGTTTTGTTTATTAGTGCGAATTTAATCTTCTTCTTAGTATTAGTGCAAATGTTGTTTACAGCATTCCACTATAGTTCTTCAAATCTTTATTAACTTCAGCATACTTTCAGCTGCACCATTCAAATATCAAAAATATTCAGCCTTTTCAGCACATGATGGGAAACTTTCAACTTTTAAAAAATATGTTATACTTTTTGAAATATTCAGCTTTTTAAACTCTTTTTTTAACATGTAACTCAATGGGAGGAACCTTCAAATCCTCTTAAAAAAAACTTTTATTCATCCCTCGTGGGGAAATTGTTTCTCTGCATTTGACCCATCCCAGTGTTAGGATGCAGTGTGCTGCCATTTTGAACGGCGCCCAGGGAACAGTGTAGGGAATGGTACCTTGCTCAGGGACACCTCGGTAGCACTTGGTCTTGCCGGGACTTGAACTGGTGACCTTCCAGTTGCCAAGCCATTTGCGATTTATAAAATACTAACTTGAAGGGAAAACGTGCGGTCCTCCACGCAAACTCTAACCCATGCGTACGCACTAAGCACAAAAACGGGAGAGACCGAGAAACTGCGACAACGTTGGCGAAGGAAGATGGAGGGAAATCATGTGGAAATAATCCTAAATAAATGTTTCCAATTCATTTTTCAAACATTGATCAAAGCCAATCTTAAATGATTACAAACGCCTGTTTGCGACTCCCAGTGGCAGACAAAAACATAAATAAAATACGGATATGTTATTTAAAAACACCTGAATATGTTGTGGTTAATGTTATGAAAGATGTTTTGATCTCATAAAGGAGGATAAGCAGAGGACAGAATTACGCTAAATGACCGCCGTTTTGCATTTCTATAGGTTGTAGATACGAGCATAGGTTTTATATACTGATCATGTTTACATCATGTTTTTATGTCTTCGCCGCCTAACTTGATCAGTCGCTTTCATTAAACACAGGAGGTATGGAAACTAAGACACAATATGTGGGCTAATTGTAAAGCTATATAACACACACATTAGTTGTATTTCCTTTAACTGGTGGATATACGAGTTGGTGCAGGTGGAGACGCTGCGCACAGCTGATCGAGAGCTGGGACACAAAACCAGCCAATACGAAACATAACTCAGATCCAGATCGTCATGACTCCACTCCGAGGGATTCCCCGATCATTCTTACAAGTTTCTCATCAGGGGGTGTCTCCTGTCCCCGGTGCAAACACACTGCCTGAGGAAGGCTATATGAGGTTTTCTCAAATACTCAAATTTCCTCCTCGATCCTCGGTCCTCCGGTAGTGACCCGGAAATGATTTCAGCGCGCCAAATTTTGAAGGAATCTAATTTCTCTAAACTGCACTTCGAGACCGAGTATCGAGCTCGAGGGGCTCTCTGGAGGAGCTCTAACCGAGGATACACTGTGGGTTCCTCCACGGATGCATTTCCGGAGAAACGGTGGAGTCGTGAGGAGGCCGGACTTATCCTCAGCATGACATGGCTCTGCATGCATCCTTGGAATATTATTTTCAAGTAACTGCTTTTCATCGCACACGCGATGTTTACAGTGAGAACAAGCTGATGAGGTACGTCTCAGAAAGCAGAGCAAGATGTGTATAATATATATCACGACGTCTCGTATAAAGGCTACTCTCTTTAGTTTGCTTTAGTTTGAGTAGATAACTACAAACACAAGAGTCGATATTTTTCCTAAACCATTTAGTGCTTACATAAATAAAATACCAACGGCTGTAGCCTGATTATGCTTTAGAGCAGTAGGTGTGTGTGGGTACAGTGTGTAGGTGGTGTGTTGTACATGTGCCGTAAGATGCGGCAGACAGACGGGTCTAAGTTGGTTTGGTTCCACTCCTATGCTTACTTTTAATACTTGTACAACTTTTTGCCGTAAATTCAATTCCCCATCTTCAGCGACCAGAGAGAGGGGGGGGGGGATATACCAGTCCTGATTGTGTTTACGTTACTTATGAGAGTGCTCTCCATACTTGTTTGATTCTGAAATTGTATACTATTTATATACAATATATGTGTGTGTCGTATATGTCCGCATCTGTCAGCCTGTTATTTCCATTAATACGCACTGTGAATGATTAAAAGTAATATATATAAGTCGTACTGAACACTCGTCCATCAGATGCTGCTTTGCCTCCTGTCATCATTAATGGACGTCTCTTTAAAATGAACTTGCTACAGAGGAGAGGAAGTTTCATTTCTCTAACCCAGCCTGCTGCTTTCCCCTCCTCTCTCACTCGTTTCCTCCTCAGGTACTCCGCTCGCATCCCTGTGGCCCGGCACCAAGTCTCGAGGAGAGGAGTCGAGGGACAAGGAGTCCGACGGAGGGGCAATTTGAGTATTGAGAAACTTAAGTGTATTTTTTTTGCTCCATGAACAAAATAAAAATCATGACACAATACATCCCAATACCCTCCTCGATTCCTCTCTTCCCCATCCATCCGGGACTGAACCCGGAAATCGATCAACGACACGCAATTTTGAAGGACGTCCCAATAGCTGAAATGCACACGAGGGTCGAGGAGGGTGAAGGGGGAGGGGTGCGGGAGGAGACGAAAGGAAGGATACACGCGAGCAGACTAGCACCTCGGAAGTGTTTCAGTACTCGGTCAGTAAAAGCCCTGCCCCACTTCACAGCTGGTCGAAAACAGATTTCAACAGAGGAAAACCCACAACTGGAAGATGATGGAAAGCGTCACATACATGTAGAAAGTGCTCAAGCTCCATGGGAATTATATGTGCAATTCATTTCTAAAAGGCTTTCACATTACTATATATTGATTTTTATTTACAATGTAGCTACATTTTCACACCAAAAGGGAACACAAAAGCAGGAACAACCATCATACATTGAATACCCTTTGGGACTAACAAGAGAAAGATTCATTCCATTTAAATAAATTTAACAACAAATGGCCGGTTCTAAAGGGTTATTCAGATAAGCCCGATGGAGAGGGGAACCAGCTGTTCGCATTGTCATCATTAACAGACGTCATTTAAAAGTGACGTTTGAGTGAAGCGAGGCAGTCCCATATTAATACCTGAGGACTCCTCTGTCCCTCGCGCACCGCTCCTCGTGTCTCTCGCTCGCTACTTACGGAGGCGGAGCTAAGACGCAAGGAAGGGAAGCGAGTGAGGGAAAGGAGGAGTCGAGGAGGGGTATTGGGATGAGGCTACGGTGTGGAGAGGTCTTTTTTAGCTGTTCTGTCGTCATTTCTGCTATCTTCTTCATAAGTCAGTCAAATGAATGAATGAATGGGCGTTACGTGAAGCCTCATCAAAAGCTGCACCGCTTTCGAGGTCGATTATGATTTTACTAAAAGCGGAAACCGCGGTAGGAAGTGCCGAACGACATTTCCCGCCGGTACGCAATGTTTGGTGAATCGGAAAATGTTCGGAACATTTCATGTACCTATTTTTTTGGAATTTCTACTACGTAAGCAAACCTTTCCCCACGTTAAACCTGCGACAGGGGCCTCATTTATAACGCCGTGCGTAGGATTCACGTGGGAANAAATAACTGGATGGCCTACCTGCCTGTCAGCCTTCCATCCGTGCACATTACAAACGTATCTCGTGCCCTCATTGGTCATGTGCGCGTTCGTGTGTGTTGGAGGAGGGGCTCTGTAAGGAAGTGGCAGATTTTTTCCGGCTGTGTATTTTCACATTTTAGCGCACTCGAGCTGGTTTCTCCAAAATTACCTACCCCACCTTTAAATGGTTGCACAAAAAGGTAGTTAACTCACCCACTTAAATCATGTTCACATGGATAGGATACTAAATACATTTGCACACATCTTGTGTCCATATATTTCTGTTTTGGTCGTCATGCCACAACCGTGCACGTGCATGCATGCGCGAGTCATGGTGAGTGTCTCTATTTTTGGGGGGGGGAGCAAATTGGTCTGGGCCTGGTTAACTGA